TAAACTGGACAAAACCTAGGCCTCGCTGGTCAAAACCTTGATTATGGCCCACTTCTACATTTTGGGCTTAGGCCTTGCGATGCATAGTAACATCCACACCTTGGTCCTTGATTCAATCTACCACCACCTTAGCAATTTTGTCAATTAAAACCACATCACCCTCATCAGTCCACTTGTTTGAATTTTGAAAAGAATCAAATGTCAGCCCATTATTCTTCTTAGGCGCGAATTTGTTTGCACCATTAGATCTATTAAAAGATATATGGTTGAGATTTCATCTTCTACCTCTCCTCTCCACCATTTGCCAACCCTCCCCGTCCCTAGTATCAATAGAGTCAGCAATATTTGGCTCAAGAATACCAATGTCTAAGCAAGATTTCCTTGTCCTTTCCTCTTTCACTAACTTCATCTTTCATTTAACTTCTTCCTCAATGGACAACCTAGCAAGAGTTTTGTGAGCCAACTCGGGTTCTACCTCAACTACTTCCTAGAAATCCGTGGGAGTTTCCATCTTCCCTGATTTGATTTCTTACCAAATAGTGAATTAGTGATTACATACATCGACTCCCTTAATACAATGTTTATTGTTATAGGAATTCCAATCCATCTAACATTGATTCTTATACACTCGATGGTTCCAGTGAAAGCATCATTGTTGTTGACCTCCATGAAACTCCCACTTAGATAACCATTTTTCTAAGCCATCTCATGGTTTCACAGTGCAACAATAATCTGTAAACCATAATCCAAAGGTGATTGCAGATGTCTTCCGTCTTTTTCCACACCCCTATTGAAGGGATGAGAGATCCATCATATGGATGGCCGAACCCTACAAGAAAGTAGGGCGAAATTTCAAAAAATTTCTCTCTCTCCCATCTGGGAATCACATTCCCTGTTTCAGAAAAACTGCATTTTTCAATGATCAATCTTGAACCAAGAACCGAACCAGATCTGAACCAAAACAGTAGGTGAGGGATATACCTGATATGAAGAAACAGTATCCTCCAATGAAGGTGTTCACGCCCAAAGAAGTCTCCAAAGACTGCTCCCACTGAAAATGACATAGTGTAAGGTGGAGCAGAATCAGCAGTGTTCTTCCCAAGAACCAAATCCTTCAGCAAGAATTCGATCGAGGCAGTGAGCACGACTTCAGATCAGCCTTTCTCCAAAGACTGATATCAAGAACTATTCTTGATCGCTCCTACAAAACTAGAGATCGAACCGGCTATGGCGGCAACTGGAGGAGAACGCAGGGAGAAGATGGCGCAGTCACACTATTTGTTGTCTTCTCTCTGGGTGATCTGAGATCTGATCTCTGAGATGCTGGAATGGGCTGAATGGTTTGCCCCCTTCCTCCTTTTATAGACTTAAAGAGATCAGCTCTTAATCTCATTAGGAGGTTTCCAGATCCAAATTCAGATCTGGACTCTCTGAGTGGATAGGGATAACTCCCTATCCTATCTGCTGATCCAATCCCAGATCCGCCCCTCTCTTTAATTAGTCCAACTAAACCAATTTGAAATGGGCTTTAGGCCCAATAAGTCTTATGTGCTCATTAACCTTCCAAACTGCTGCCCGGTTGGGCTTCTTTGTATGGCGTGGGACCCAAACATTGATCTACACATCAGCCACATGGGTTCAGCCCAGCCTCTGTTACAAGGCCTGGCCGAATTCACTGAAAAGACAGTGAACCCCCTGAAGCCCATCACATGGGCTCCTAATGGGCCCAACACTTACCCTCAATGGTCTTACACTTAACCTCTCAGCCCATAATGATCAAACACTGCCTGACAAGAGAGGATCTCTCCCTCGGCTGCAAGGAACAGTGTTGCACTCTCTACTCACATGGATCCCGGGAATTAAAACATTTTGCAAATATTTTGAAACCGTAATATATATATATGTATATCCGAATATAAATATATTTTGCAAAACAAATTTCAACGATTGAAATCGGTTGTCGGCAGTCTTGGTTTCCATCAAAGAGAGTGCATCCCCGATCATTACCTTTGTCCAACAAAGGGGCTGATCCTGTCACTATGATTACCCACTCAGATGAATTCTCAAACTGTCCCAACATACCCAAGTTTTGACCCCCACTAAGGATCTTACTGATTGGCATATCAAAGACAGCCCAATCCGACACCTAGTGCAGTATCATAATCGAGTGTAGGGGTCAGGTGTAACTTTCCAGTTTTGCCCACTAATCACCAAGCAATACTGGAAATCTGGTCCGATTCAAGGTTTCAAGTAAACCTACACTGCATGTACCTCGGGTCTTACCCTGGCAGCTGAGACCGGCCACCCCAACACTTGGCGGCACATCAATGTCAACCTTAGTAGGATAAATCTCCCCAAACTTATCCAGCGATTGTGAACATTCTAAACTAACACGAGTCTCACAAGTGTCCATTTTAAGGGTATTACACAGAAACACACCGCTATAACATAAATCAAATATGTACTTTATTCATTTACAATAAATGTCATAATGTACATCAATCTGATTGGAGCTAAGGGCATACATTGTCTAACACCTATAGCCTCCGACCAGGGTTCAAGATGAGGGAGGGTACCCACTGAAACACCTTGAACCAATATTCAATACTCTATGGGTGTCCTCTTTCGAAGGAAGAATCAAGGGCCATTTTTCCTCATCATAGTTCCAAGCCTTGTTGATCCACAATTGTAGTTCTACCATGAAGTTTTTCTAATCAAACAATCCTACAAGGCCTGATTGGAGGAAGTTGGATCTTTCTAGAACACTATTGGCATCTACTTCCAGAAATAAGTGTTTGAGGTTTGCCTTGATGCATACTTCCCCCCGTTAGCCAAACATTTTGGTTAGCCTTGTTCGGAAACCTCCTTCCACTTCCCTTTCCCTATTTCCTTCTTGAACCGACCTTATCAACCTTGACGCCTACACCTACTAGAGCATCATACCCAAGGTCTTGGTCTATGATTGTTATTCATGGCTTCCAAATATTCAAACTACAACTACTAATTTTATTGATTATTACACTATATGATTACATTTTTAGAAAACTATCCAGATATATTGCACAATAAACCAACCCCTAGCTACTCGCTCATGGCTCCATTTACATTTTGTACAATGATTTATAATAACCTTACCTTTTATCTATCAAAAAAATAACCTCTCCTTTTTTTACTTAATTAATCCAACATTTTTTAGACACAATTTCACTAGGAAAGACATACAATGACAGAGAAGCATCAACTGATTTAATTCTTGTTCCAAAAGTGTGTCGATGTGTGCAACTATTTCTATGCTTTTTTTTAACATTAACTAAGGAACTTCATTAATGTTTTCAAGCATGAGGGTGGGCCTTGGCACAACAGTTGGGTCACTCCATTGTGACCTGGATGACCAGGGTTCAAATCTTAGAAATAGCCTCTCTGTGTATCTGCATGAGTAAGGCTATTTATATCTGTCCCTCCCAAGGCCCCGGAATAGCAGAAGTCTCATGCACTGGGCTGCCCTTTTTACAGTATTTATTGTAGACTAGCATGCACTATCTATCACAACAATTAGGCCCCCCTAGGATCCTCCCTCCAAAAGATATTCACTCTATTTACCCCTTGCCTGGCTAAAGCATCATCCGTGTTGTTTACACATCAAGGAACCCACTGGAATGTACATCAATTATTTGCCAATAATCTCTACTATTTCTAGCATGTTAGTGTTCAAGGTGGGAAAATATTCACAATCAATATTGACTTGGTCTTCAACTGCAAAGCTGAAATTAAAAGAAAATAACCAAGTTCAAATATTTTTTTGATAAGACAGCCAAGTTCAAATATTTTACAATGGTGAGCAACAAAGTGAGAGAATATGCCCAAAACCATTGCAAAATGGGGGCTTTAGTGGAACTCAAAAATTGGGCTAGAGATTTCTCTTTAGGCTGTGCAAATTTCATCTGCACTGGTGTAAATGCATAGAAGTGCAAATATGCTGGCTGTAAATACTGGTTTACTTTTGCTTCAGATTTGAACTTGTCTTGTTTGTTTGTGGAAAGTAAAATAGGAAGTAAAATTGATCCCACCTTATATGCAAGATAATGAAGGTAGGAGGGTTATTTGTTTGGGAGTGAGCCAGGAAGCTAGATGATGTAGCCCCCACTTTATATGAGAGAAAATTGAGGTAGAAGGAAGGTGGTGCAAATTTTGCATCAGTTTTCAAGATGCAAATTTTACACTGCTAGTGCATGCAAATTAGACAAAAAGTACAAATTTTGAATCAGATAGGAATGCAAATCATAATTACAAACAAGCAAACACAAAACTGACTGGGCACAAAATTTGTATCTGGTTTAGATTTGCACTGCACCCAAGCGCAACTTAAAATCCTCAGTTAGATGAAGCAAAAAAAACCTAAAATGAATTGCCCTAAGAGTGGGGGGAACTCACCATTTATCAAAACAAAAAAGAAAGGGTGGGAACTCACCCTTGGAGTGCAAATCCTGCCTTCTGAATTCTATGAACAAATACAAAGCTCTTTTTTTTGGGTAAACTATAGAAAGCTCATCATTACACTGAAAAGCCTATGCAGATGACTCAATACTTCACAAATAATGATATTTAAAACATTGACTGAAATAACTGGCTGATCATCCATCTCAAACTGTAAGAGATGCCAAAGGTGGCACAAATAAAAAAGTATATATCTGTACTTTCTCATTTAATTATTAATCTTTTTTATTGTTTTAAATAGTAATGAAACTTGAAATTCATACTAATATAATGTACACATTAGCAGCTATGGAGAGAGAGAGAGAGAGAGAACATGAGAAGGGTGTAACATGCTGGGCCTGAATAACATAAAAAGAAAACACCCAAACAACCACAATAAACAATAATTAACCAACCACTGATCAAGCAAGATTAAACTAATCAACCTACAAATGTATACTTCAAGAAGAAGCAATCTTCTACTGTACATTAATAGTTGTATCAAGCAGGTTAGAATCATAGATTACCTGACCAAAGTGCCATAGCATGTCAGTTAGAGCATTATAAAAAGCAGATGCGGTTGAAGAGTCCAAGCGCTTTACTTCATCAAACAATGATTGAGCCTGAAGCCATACTTTTTCCCTACAGCCCATAAGAAGTCCATGTGCAACACCATACACCTGATTATCAAATAACCGGAGTTCCTCCAGTAACATTGAAGCATCTTCAAATGAATTGCAACGGCTACAATCAGAGGCAAAATCAGATCATGAACATAAATGTATAAATAGCTGTGCCTGCAGAAGGTATAACTTCAAGGATTTCATCGCACAGTGAATGCACACAGAAGCACTTTTAAAGAGAGCAAAGGAAACACAAAAAAGCAATACCAGTGCCAACAGACAGGACTTGAGCTAGGAAACAACATATAGCAGTAGCACTATCTAAAGGACATTAAGTTTACAACATGCTTGAACAACTGGATATTGGACAAGTTTGTCAGATCATTAGATGGACTGTCTGATCATTAAGTTTACAACAGCATTACTCAATACTGGTTTTTCATCTTTCAAAAATGCATAAGCTTTTTTTATTGGTAACGTTAATTTCACTGATTATGAAAATGAATAATGAATCAGTTACATACAAAACATGCCAAGCATCCCTCGTCTTTCAAAAATGTATAAATTAAGGTGCCGTTTGGCAAGTCTTTTTTGAAAGATCTTCCAGAAGATCTGACAGCCAAAAGACATTTTGGGCTTTTACATAAAGACCTTGGAAGCCCACAGCCCATTTAGTTGGAGGCACGTCTTTACGCACGAAGACGAGACGAAATAAGTCGAAAAGCTCCATTTGGAGCTTCCTGAAACAGGCTTCCCACATCTTTTTGGGGCTGCATCTTTCAGCGACTAGATCTTTTCTCAACCAAACGGGAAAAGATGAAAACATGGGCTGCTGGGCTTCTAAAAAGCCAACAACCCACACGAAAAAGACGTGCCAAATGGGGCCTAATTGGCAGCGGGCCTCCAAATCACTATATCTAAGGAGTCACAAATCCACAATTTTGATGGTCGGCATTGATGAAAAATAACTGGCATTAATGATCAAAAGATGTTGAGAATGAATGAAAAATTGAAATTGAAGGACTTACTAGACATGAGGAAATCTCAGGAGTCATGCCCCTCAAAAGAAGCTGAATGTTAGAGACTGTTATAGATGGTCGGCATTGTACTGAATGTTAGCTGATCTCCCAACCCATTGTACTGTTATAGACATACTTCTTGTCAGCCATTTGAATTTCTTTAACTCATTTTTGTAGCCCCAAGTGACATCCTCCAGATTATTTAACCAGTCCACCACTGTCTTAGAGTCTCCTTCAATCAGAAGCTGCTCCACACCCACTTCTTTTGCAAGAAGTATTCCTTGTATTGCAGCTAGCAGTTCTGCCCGGATAGAGTTCCCTACTCCTAAAGGGCCAGAGTAGATTAAGACAACCTCTCCAGCCTCATTCCTCAGTACACCTCCCATCCCAGAGGGACCTGGGTTACCATGGCTACTCCCATCAAAATTCAGCTTCAAAGAACCAAGAGGAGGGGGGACCCAGCTAGTCACTGCCCTTCCCTTGTAGGGGGGACCCAGCTAGTCACTGCCCTTCCCTTGTAGGAGGAACCTCATCTAGGCATTTAGTGGGCCGATTGGTGTAGCAGATGCTACTGAAGCAGATATCCAAGCCTTGTTGGTGGGCTTGACATCTAGGTGACTCTTAACATCACGAGGTGGTGGTAGCAGGTGATTCCAAGAATGTAATCAGTTGGATGAAAAGCACCAAGGAGGGACCTTGGAGATCCAACAGCATTTTTAATGAGATTTTGGAAATCAAGTCTAACTTGATATTTCATTTTAGATAGAACCCTAGAGAATTGAATTCTGTGACTGATGGGGCCAAATCAGCAGTAAGGATGGAATTTTGGCATAGAAACTCCTCAATGCCTTTGTAAATTCTAGGAGAGTCTTTTTTTATTTTTTTGGCTTTTGGTCCTGTTTGGTATTGCTATATTCTTTTTTGATCAGCAATACAAAAATAATTTTTTATTGATTATAAAAAGGAGTACAACAAGGAGTTGTGGGCAAATAACAAGCCTAAAATCACTTCCAATATTTACAAAACAGCCCAAAACATGGATTGACTCTGAATTCCTTGTTTAGCTAACCCATCCGCCAAGCTATTTGCAAATCTCCTAATCCACTTTATTTGGATTATCATGTCTTTAGAAACCTGCTTTAAGTGCCTGAATTCATTCTTTAACTGCCAAATTACTCCCCCCTTTTCAGCCAGCCCACAACAATTTTTGAATCACCTTCAACAATCAATCTGCCAATCCCCAATTCTTTAGCTTTCTCCACTCCATACACAGCTGCCATTATTTTTTATTTCACCACATCTCCATGCTGAATAGGACCTGAAAACATGGCCAGAATGTTTCCACTTTCCTCCCCGATTACCCCACCAATACCCGAAGGTCCAGGATTGCCCATGCAACTACCATCAAAATTTAATTTCTTCCATCCAGCACATGGAGGTGACCAGGCCTCAATTATTTTTTGTCTTCTAGAGGATGAGTGAGCTATTATCCCCATGAACTGAAAAATCTTCAACTTTAAAGACTGAAAAAAAGCTTTAAAGTTTTCACCCACTGTGCCACCCTTAAGGTTACAATCTCAAACACAGATTCCTTACTCCTTTCTTTGTCTTCAAAGATTCTTAAATTCCTTTCTTCCTAAATTGTCCATATCACTGCTGCTCTGGTGCATCTCCCCAAAATCCTGCCTCTTCTTTTAGAGCAACTAAAAAGATGAGAGTTGAATAATCCTTCCAAATTATTAGGAGAGAGCCACCTGCAACCAAAAAGAGACGAAAAAAAACTCCCAAATAGAGATAGCAAAAGGACAGGAAATTAGATGATGAAAAGCAGTCTCACTATGCAACTTACATAAGGAGCACCAGTTTGGGGACAAGCACCAGTTTGGTCTTTTTCTTTGGAGTTGATCACAGTTGTTAATGGAACCATGATACACTTTTCAACAGAGAGCATTGACTTTTGGAGGAATAGGCCGAGACCGACTTCCTTAACAAGGAAAGAAGGGGAGGTGGCTACAAGAGAATTTAACAAGGATTTGCAAAAATAAACCCCCGAGTGATTAAGTGCCCACACTCTGGAATCTGAACCACCATCCCCCAAGACCATTGAATTCAACATACTAACACTAGGAATTTCCGACTCTTTTAGGTTTCTAGTAAAGCTCAGATTCCAATTCAAGCCTGACTAGGAAGAGGACGAGCTAATAAAATGACACAACGGCTTTCCTTTAAAACTAGAGAGCTTAAAAAGAGAGGGAAAAACCTCAGACAAGGGGAAGCCTGACTAGGAAGAGGACGAGCTAATAAAATGACACAACGGCTTTCCTTTAAAACTAGAGAGCTTAAAAAGAGAGGGAAAAACCTCAGACAAGGGGGATTCCTCAACCCAGATATCCTCCCAAAACCTTATTCTCTGACCCAAAGCTAAAACATACCTTATTTGAGTGAGGAATACAAGAAGAATGCCATGGATAGCCTTCCAAGGAGCAACCAAAGTAGCTCTATGCAAGCAGCCCGCATCCCACCCATTGTTTGACAGACCATGGATACTTGAGATGACTTTATTCCACAGCTTTTCATTTTCTTTAGGGAATTTCCAAGGCCATTTACTCAACAAAGCCAAAATTTTCAACCTAACATTTCCAATGCCTAATCCCCCTTCCTCCTTCAACTTTACCACCTTATCCCAGCTAATCAAGTGATCTTTCTTACCCTCCCCAGGCTCCCAAAGGAAATCTCTCATAATCTTTTCAATCCTTTTCACCACTGCTAGGGCATCCTAAAAATTGACATGAAGTACACTGGATATTTGCTAAAGTGGATATGATCAATGTTATTCTCCCTCCCAACGAAATACATTTCCTTTTCCAGCTTGCTAGCCTTTTTCTCAAACCTCTCCACTATTGGGGTCCAAAAACTAACTAATCTAGGGTTGCCACCAAGGAGTAATCCTAAGTAACACAAAGGCCAATTCCATTTCTTACAACCCAACGAATCTGCCATTTCTCTCAGATCATCATCCCCTATTCCAGCCAATAAACTTTTAGACCAATTGATTTTCAAATTGGAGATCCTTTCAAAGAGTTACACTATCAGCTTCAAATTTTCTACCCCTTTTCTGCCTTCCCCATCACAAAAAACCAGGATACCATCTGCAAATTGCAAGTGGGAGACCAGAACTCTATTTCTTCCTATTACCCAGCCCTTAAACAGCCCAATAGAGTTAGCCTTAGAGATTAGCTTAGTTAAGACCTCAGCTATCAGAGTGAATAGAAATGGAGAAAGTGGGTCACCTTGTCTAAGATCTCGAAGCCCCTCAATGAAATCAATTGCTGACCCATTGACTATAACAGAGAAGTGGCTTGTTTGCAAGCAACCCTTAATCCATTTACACCATAAATCCCCAAAGCCACATCTCCTCATAATGCTGATCAAGAAATCCCAGTCCACTAAATCATAAGCTTTCTCCAAATCCAACTTGATTCCTAGTCCCTCCTTCAACCTTTTTTGAGCCTCCACACACTCATTTGCAATTGGAATCCGATCAACTATATGTCTGTCTTGGATAAAAGCCCCTTGGAACTGAGAAATGAGAGGGGGAGGACCTTTTTAAGCCTCAGAGAAAGCACTTTGGCAATTATCTTATAGATACTAGTAACTAGGCTTATAAGTCTGAAGTCCCCTGGTTGGATGGCATCTTTCTTCTTTGGAATCAAGGCTAAGAAGGTTGAGTTCATTTCTGGGCTGATTACCCCTACCGTGGAACTCCCTAAAAACTTTAATCAGATCATCTTTAATTACCTCCCAACAATCTTGATAAAAAGCCATTGTGAATCCATCAAGCCCATGAGCCTTAGATCTATCCATGGAGAACACTGCTTCCTTAATTTCAACCTCCTCGAGCCTTTTCTCCAAAATATCCACTTGATTTTCTTCCAAAAAATCCCACTCAAGCCCATCCAAAGACCACCTCTCATTGATTGGCCTACGATATATTGATCTGAAATGATCTACAAAAGCCTTGGCAATTTCACCTTGATCTATTATTTCACCCCCCCCCCACCACCACCACCAATAAAGATGATATTGAGCTCTTCCTTTTTCT